GTGAACTTATACAAATAAAGATGGGACATGAGCAAGACAAAGAAGTGTTGTGTTTATCTGTCTATTGAGCAAATTCTGTTGCTGGCATAGCTGTCATCTTTTTAATGCCAGCAAATCTGTGTGTGGCATTTAGTGAGCTCAATTCTTTTAGCATTCATAACCTTCTGATCTAGATTACCACTCTATTTCTTAATTTCACATTTAGATTTACCTTACATCCTTACATTTTCTAAATGTAAGATTGAAGCTAATTAATGGAAGGAGTGAAATGCTATTCCTTTTATTTGTGGATAAAAATGACATAATAAATAGGCTCTCGTTGAAAGATAAGTGGAATATAAATAGATAACCAGGTTATCTTTTCTTGGGTAAAAAAAAAAAAAAAACCTTACCAAATAGACAAAACTTGTTGCTGTTTATTTTTATGCAGGGTATGTTCCTGGAAATTTGTGGCAGGGGCTCAGGATTTAGGTTTTGATGCTAGAATAATTTTGTATTATAGAAATGGCTTGAAATATGAATTGTAAAGCAAAATATTTTTTCTTTTTACAGCACTGAAAAAAGTAGGAAACCACTTTGTCTCTCTCTCTCTCTTTCATTGCGCTTCTTTCTGTCTTTTAATTTTTGAATTTTTGTTTTTTTTCTGTATTTTTATCTTATAGTGAAACTTAACAAAATAATTTTTTTTTAAAAAAAAAGAATTATTTGCCACTTAGTTGTTAATTGCCCTGTGTTCCTGGAGTAGGAGTGTTGCTGTACATTAATAGTTTCTTCCATATTTTACAGTGTTGTACCTTAATAACAAATACTGATAGGAAAGAACAGGAGCAAAATTTGTCAGGACTGTGGGTCCTTCTAGCACTGGATCTGCCCATGTACTGTTGGTAACAGGAAATGGGATTAGATCCAGCAAAGTAGTAATTACTGTATTTTTAAGGAAAAATCTTTGTAAATAAAATCACGTGATTCTGCCTGTAAAAGGGGTGCTCAGCTTCATCATCTTTATTTAAGATGCCTGCAGCATTCCACTCTCAGAATTCCCCAGCTATCATGCAGAAGCTCCTACAACATAAAGCTGATCAGATTGAGAAACACTGGCCTATAAGTACACGTATACACACACACATACACCACGTGATCATGTGTATACAGCTAGTCTAACAGGTTTTGCTCTATTAAGAGAATTACTAATTAAATGGCTCCAGTGTTGCAGCACAATATAGAGCAGACCTGATTTTAAAAACTGTACAAAGGTCCTGTGGCTAAGTCACCTGTTGAATCCACTGATTTAGGAAATGAGTCCATAGCTTCTCAGAAGATTATATACCTGCGCCCTTTCACACTAAGTTAAAGTGGTTGGCTGGTAAATGCCTTTGCAGGCTTTGTTGTTGTAGCCATCTGTTGTTACATATAAGGCAAAAAAAATGAGATTTTGGCTATTGCATTACAAGATCTTCAAGTTGTTCCCACAGCAGCTAAACTACCACGCTGGTTTTGTACAAAGCATTGTAACTGAGTGGGTGGCTTGATTAAAAAAAAAAATGAAAACAGCAGTGTTCAATCAGAATAAGTAAGAAAGAAATATATTCATAACAAATGTATGTGTGCATGAATACATTTTCTTGCAATGAAAATTCATCTTAGAAAAATTTAAAGAAACAGCAGGAAGAAAGAAAAGTTCCCAGTTTTACAAAATTGTGACAGTTGTTTTAATTGCCTGCAAGAGTTCTTGATTCCCTTCAGAAAAACCTCAGTGCTGAATGTCAAGAGCTGCTCAGCAGAATAATTGAAATGCCGATAATTATTCTGATAATTGGTCCAAATGCCAAATGTGAATTTGATGTTGTGCAGTGCTGTTCTTTTTTTTTTTTTATTGAAAATTTTTAAAAGTTTTATAAATATACAACCAAAAACAAATCAACCCTCACCCCATCCCTCCCAAACCCACCCCTCCCTCCCCCCCACCCGAACTTCCCAGAACTGAATATAGGCTTATCTAAAATTTTAAAATATCTAAACAAATTTTACATCTTATAATAATAAAATATATGTAACATAAGCATTAATAAAAAAAATACTTAAAAAAGAAAGAAGAAAGAAAGGAAAGAGAGAGAGAAAGAAAAAGAAAAAAAGATAAAAAAGAAAAAACAAAAGATGGAAAAAGAAAAGAAAAAACAATCTATACAAGTTATGAGAAAGCTAAATGATATTTTTCCATATCCAAATTATATTGTATAAAATTTATCCATTTTTCCCATACAACAAAAAATTTCTCTTGAGATTGCTCCTTTAAGAAAGCCGAAATCTTTGCCATTTCCGCCAAATAAGAAACTTTATAAAACCACTCTTGCAAAGTAGGCAAAGATTCCTTCTTCCAATATTGTCCTACTAACAGCCTTGCGGCTGTAATCAAATTTAACATCAATATAACTTCCTTAGCATCACAGTCAGTAACAATACCTAATAAAAATAATTGCGGAGTAAATTTTACCCTCCTTCTAAAAATTCTTTGAATATTCCACCATATCTTAATCCAAAAAGCTTTTATATTTTTACACGACCACCAGATATGATAATAAGTAGCATCCAAACAACCACATCTCCGTGCAGTGCTGTTCTTAATTCCATTTGTTCTTGCAACTGTTGGAAAGCACTCACACTTTAATATTCTTGTTGGATATTTGAATTTAACTAGAGTCCTTGTTAAAGGCTGTGCTTCTGAGTAAATGCAGAGCACTACAAGTGATTACACTTGTAATAAAGTGATTAAGTAGCAGTAGAACCTATTCCCAAAAGTACAGATAATCCTCGACTTACAGTTGAGCCCAAAATTTCAGTTACTGAATGAATTTTGCCCCATTTTATGACCTTTCTTGCCCCAGTTGTTAAGTGAATTATTGTAGTTTTTCAGTTAGTAACACAGTTGTTAAGAGAATCTGGCTTCCCCATTAACTTCGCCTGTCAGAAGGTTGCAAAAGAGGATCACATGACACCAGGACACTGCAACCGTCATAAATATGAGTCAGTTGCCAATTGTCTGAATTTTGATCATGTGGCCCCAGGGAAGCTGCAATGGTTATAAGTGTGAAAAACAGTCATAAGTCACTTTTTCAGTACTGTTATAACTTTGAATGGTCACTAAATGAACTGTTGTAAGTCGAAGACATAATTGTCTTGGATGCACATACAGCTTAAACCAACAATCAACAAATGCTAATTGACATTAATCGCAATTTATCAAAAAATACAATAGGAAAGCTTCCCTGCTAATTAAACCATATCTTGAAGAGAGAGAAAGACAAGAAAGAGAGAAAAAGGACATTTCCTGGCTCTTAAACACATAGTAGGGCCAATATCTAAAGAATGTTCTCCTTTATCTATTCCTTACCCTTGTCAAAAGGCTCATAGGTACAAAAGATGATACAAGCTCAGCCATTCTAATCAAGATGGACTGAAGATGATTTCCATATATGTAATAAACAGGAAAAAAGTAAACTTGAAAAATATAGTGGTAACTTCTGCTGGTTCCTCAAGAAGGTTAAACATAATAGATTTGCATCAAATCATTTTTTTTAAATTGGGGAATGGCTTCAATACAGTGGGATTTGTATTGAGTTAGTTGTTATTATGGAAGACATCCAAGTTGGCACTCCTATTTTTGTAGGTCATAAGTATAAACACCTCTCTAAACGTGTATATGCATGTGCATATGTATCAGAGCTGTTAAAAAAACATGGTTGATATACTTTCCACCCACGACTTGAATATGATGTTTATCTGATTAAAACCAGAAATTAATTTGACACCTTAATCATGAATTCCATGCCTCTTTCTCCAAGGATTTAGAAACCACTTAGGGACTGTATATACCTCCTGAACAAACCAAAAGTATCCAAGCTATATTATACAACATGGAGCAATGATTCCATGGCTGCTATTAGTCACGGTACGGAATTTACAACAACCTGTTGAAATGTGCCCATTCCCCACTTTGGGCAGCCTTGCCCTCCTCTACACTACTGCATTTTAATAGCCCTCCTGCCCAGTTTTCTCCGCTCACCAAGGATTCTCAGTTCTCATTTGTCTGTTTTGGGGCATCTCCCTTTTGTGATTCATCAAGGCCTGGAGAAACCTTGTAGAGAAACCTATTTGTTTATGTACAGGCAATGTTGTTTTGAAATCCCATAAACTAACCTCAGGGGAAAATTATACCAATGAATATATTCTGCCCCTTAATAGAGAGGGTACCCATAGTTGGCACACAATGAGGTATAGACACATGACTTACCTGTATTCATGATTACTTAAACATCCTTCTTCTTTCCTTCTCTCAGCAACTACTCGTTGACAAAGCTTAGTTGAAATTATCATAACAATGGCTGCATCATGGTGCAGCACACTCTTTATTTTGACCCAACTGTGGTGAATGACTTTGTTTTGGGCATAATTGAGGTCATTGCAAGTATTTAAATGATATGGCTGTCCATAGTTACTGGGAGTAACAGAAACAGCTTAAATACTGTTTTAAGGAATTCTGATTAGGATTTGGATAAGATGGTTCTCAGGAAATCTCCAGGCTGTAGACTAGGTTGGGAAGAGGGCTGAGGCAGTATCCAGAAAACTACATGGATGTGATGCTTTCTTAGCATCATTTCTAGTATCAAAACTGAAAGAATTAAAAGAAGCAATATCCGGCTACATGTCTGTATACAGTTGGAGCAAGGGCCCTTGGAGTAATGGATGTGACCTGATCTGCCATTTCTCTCTCCCCCCCAGAATATGCATGGGCAAACACATTGCACCCATTGATGTGCACTTCATCATGTTTATACCTACCCTACAAAACCAGTGCACAGATGCTCAGAAAAAGAAGTGGCTGCCCCTGGTCTCCCGCTTCCAGATAATCGGCACCTACATTCAGACGGAATTGGGGCACGGTTAGTTCTTTTCAGAAATATATGGGGTTTCCAATACAGTATTATTCAAAACTGCCTGGCAGTGGGTTTAGAGATAGAGAGCAAACACGTAATCCTGGATCAAATTTAATGTGCTGATTGGAGCTGTTAGAGGGGTATCTACCATTTGGGTGTTACAGGTTCAAATCCAATATAAAAGCTATTTGTGGGTTTTATACGTTCTTTGCCTTGGATTTTTGAATATCATGTTCTTAAGATTCAGCATGAGCAATTTTTTTTCTTCCAGGCTGAAGTTTTCTCTAATATTAGGCAGTGTCAAATAATATGCAAAAATTGCAGACTAAAGGCAATTTTATACATTGGAAACTATAAACTACAGTACATGCTTATAGTATTGAACAAGACATAGACAAGTATGGTGGTAACTGTTGGGAGCAAAGAATCAGGACCATATGTTATGTTCCAGTTTAGAAGATTTATTGCTCAAGCCTATACAGAAGAATCTGGTCAACCAAATTGGCACTAGATAGGAGTCATCAGAATTCAAGGCAGGTTGGATTTGAAGCATTTGTGGACACATGACAATTTTTAGGCTAAGTCTTCTCTTGACTGCCCCCCAGGTTCTGCCTCTTCTTCCTTGACATAACAATGATAAACTAAAATGAACTGCTACTAACTAATTGGTATGGTCCTATATAATATGGAATATTGCAACATGGTGCACTAAAGTTGGATAATTTGATCTAATAATGCCTTTGGGCAAATGAGTTGACTATAATAATATTCTACTACAGTATAAACATTATGTTAAAACACCTTCCTAGGAACATGTTTCATTAAGGATTTTTTTTTTTTCATTTAGATTGAAATTGTGTTTGGATAACTTACTTTCTGGAATCTTATTTTCTTGCTGTATCTTCTTCGTCAATGGTTTTAATGCTAACTGAAATAAAAGAGACGAGACAATCTTGACTCACTTTCTTCATTATGGTATATATTTGTGGAAAAAGTACGTTTACTATTATCCTGGCCATTTTATATTGGAATCTATATATTTTAGATATGTTTCACCTAAGCTAGTCTGGAAAAAATAAAAAGGTTGGTTCCTGTGTCTTCATTTTCATTTGACTGGCAAGAAATAGGACTTGTAGTCATAAGGAATTGTTGAACTGAACAGCTCAATGATATCAGCTGGCAGAAAGTTACCTAATACGGGATGAAGAGGAACTGAAACATCTATCAAGACAGTATATAACTTTTGTTCTCATTTAGCTACCACTCCTACATCAAGTGGTACTGTAGTGCTGTTCGTTTGAAAACATTCTAGTTTTTCTGTCATCCCAAATTTAACAAAAATGCAGAACTTGATTAGTATGCTGCATTGTAACGAAGACACAAATGTGCCTGGTTGAAAAGAGAAAGACTCTGGTTTCCAAATGTGCTTTCTGCAATTAATCCTGGAGAATGATGCATATGCAGTCTGGCTTTTAAATCATGATTACTGATACCTCTTGAAAAATCTTTTGCTGCTTTGAACCTAAGCATCCATGAATTTAACAATTGCATGCCACAGGCATTACCACTTGAATGTAACAGTTGTACCCTACAAACAATTTATCTGAATGGAACAACCTACAAATAAGCAACCATATAGTTGGTTTTGTTTGGAGCCTTGACCATAGCTGTATTTGGGGTTTGAGGTTTTGTTTTGTTTTTTTGCATGCTATGAATACTAACCTATTTCTGTGTTTGTGTTAGTATGTAATATTGATGTTCTGTTAACTAAACCATACGAGGTGAGGTGCTCAATGGCTTAATGATGCTGGAGATAGTCTCTGCTCCAGCGGTTCAAGTCCCACCACTGTTTGGTGGGGTGAGTTTCTGTCACTTGTCTCAGCTTCTGTCCACCTAACAGTTCAAAAGCATATTCTATGTGAGTAGGTAAATAGATACATACCACTTTGGTGGGGAGATGAGTTGGTGGTGTCAGATTCCTGCCAGCTCTGAACTCTCCTGGATGCAGCGTCCAAGGCGTCTCTGGGGAGGGGGCTAGGATGATGCTGTAGGAAAAGCCACTTTCTGGTGTGCAGCCAGCTCGTGCTCCTATGGCACACATTGGGAAGTGCCCAACATTTCCTGCAAAAGAGCTGATAATTTGGCAGCCATACTACTACTATGCAGTAGCATTTAGTCTCCTGGCTAATGTAACGCCATTTGCTAATAACAATAATAGCAACAATAATAATAACAAAAACTAATCCATATATTTTATGACAAATGGGTCAACATTCCATAACAGTGCAATTTTTCTGTTCAGCAACATAGGTATGCCAGGATTTCCCACTGTTTTGATAGGTTGTTAAGGCTGAATTGCAATATGATGTTATTGAAAATAATAAGCTTGACTGATGCTGCTTGGCATTCATCAGTGTTGCATGTAAAATGGTTACTTCTTTCAGTTACTTTTTAAAGATATCCAAATAATGTAGACCTGGCACAGAAGGCTTTTTTTAAAATAGTGGTAGTATGTAAAATTTATGTTTAGAAGATTCTAAGTTCACTCGTTGATGAAAGATCTTTAAGAGCTTCTGTCAGCCAGTGTTGCCAATTTTCAGTCAAGGGAACTGACAGCAATTTAATTGGTATAAGGCAGTTTCTTGTGGCCCTACTGAGGATTCGGCTTTCAAGATAAGATGAAAACAGCAAATATTAACTTTCTGACATGTTGCTACTGTAGCCTGCCTCCCATTTTTTCTCTTTTGTTTGAAGAAGGAAAACAGAGTTCCAATAGCTTCAATAAATATGGTTAAAAAATAGAATCTGAACAGCACTGTTTTAGAACTAACTACGTATGCTGTAAATTAGGATTGAGTTGTTCACGAGCCATAAATAGCATTGAATCCACCATTCTCCACTTTTTAGGGACTCTGCTACTGAAAACAGATGGCAGACTATCATGTTATTATTCTTTGGCTTTTTACATTTGTTTTGCTTTCTTAAATTTTACACACAACCTTTTTAGTGTAATTCTCAGCCATCAAAATTTGCTTGTCTGGGCAATAAATTATCACACTGAGCATTTCTACCCAAAATTGATTTCATTCTTTTCTCCTATTTGTAGATGACAGTTATCTAATCATGCTATTTTCTTGTCTTTTTAATACTATTTTAAAATTGTTTATCACTGTTCTACAAAACTGCTACAGATATTTGAAAATAATAGGTGGTTTTGGCTTTAGTGCAAGTGCCATGCAGTCTCTTGGTAACCTAATACCAATAATTTATATACTTAGTTGTTCCACATTCATTAGTAATGAGGACACCTTAGTTGCCATTTTATACATCCTGAAGATAATTATAATAACGAATAATTTGGAATTTTGGTTAAACAGAAGTCTCTGCTACTGTACAATATTGGTAGCAAGCATAATAATATTTCCACAGGAAGTTTGCTATTTTATATTTAATAAGTGCAATATTTTATCATTGGCCTTAGAACAGCGTTTCTCAACGTTTGTGTGATGGTGACCCCTGTTATGGAATCTTGACCCATTTGTCATAAAATACATGGATTAGTTTTTGTTATTATTATTGTTGCTATTATTGTCATTAGCAAATGGCGTTACATTAGCCAGGAGACCAAATGCATCTATTGCCTAATTTAGAACTTGCAGGTTGAATATCGAAGAGGGTGTGCACGGGAAAAGATGCCAGGATAGCTATCATTTATAAATGTTTATTAACATGATCCCTATGATTACAGCATCAGAGAGATTTCTTCAGTGGTGAGCCAAAGCAGTAGGGAGGAAATTCCATGGAATTGATTCAGAAAGTGTTTACTGAACATGTCTTTTAGCCCTTCAGCTTCTCCCTCTCCCTAAATTGCTTGTTTTAAATCATCAGCAAAGACAGGTTACATATTCATGAAGATTAAGTGCCTAATGTGTTGCATTGAGCATCTAGCTAAGACAAAAGAGGGAAATAATTATCTAATTGTGGTTAGAGCAGGAAGTTTGTGATCTCACAACTAGTTGTTGTGATTGTTGTAATATGCGAAGTCGTGTCTGACCCATCGCGACCCCATGGACAACGTTCCTCCAGGCCTTCCTGTCCTCTACGTCTTCTGGAGTCCGTTTAAGCTCACGCCTACTGCTTCAGTGACTCCATCCAGCCACCTCATTCTCTGTCGTCCACTTCTTCTATTGCCCTCAATCTTTCCCAGCATTAGGCTTTTCTCCAGTGATTACAATTAATTATTTCAGTCCACATGACAATAAACTTATAAACCAGGCCATTATTATCCCCATGTTGCAAGGATGACTTGGCACAGTAATCCATATAGTACAAGTACTATAACAGGTTAAAGATGCCCCAGATTGAAGGCTATCTTGAAAAGGATGTTGGCTTAAGAATACCATAATAAATGTAATCACCTTGATTATATATATAAAAAAAGCTCATAGTATTTGAATGTGCTTATTAGATTATGATTAGGAAGCATGTTTTACTCACTTGGGGAACTTTTGGTGATGGTTTTTCTCTTTATAAACATTTGTATAAAGCTGTGAACCAGCTTGATAGCTTTAATTGCTGATTCAAAGCACCACCTTTTTCTTCCCAGAAGAATCTTTGAAAGATCATTTAAAACAACAGAAATATTACAGAATGAAGCCATACAAGAAAGAGGATAATTGTAATGTAGACTGGTATTGAATAAAAGCTTTTGAGTAATTTCCCTCCTTTATCCAAATTTGAATTGGATAAAGTTTTATTGCTTTGATTTCATTGTGGAACATTGTTAACTGATTTGTTCCTTTTTCAATTTATGTACAGAAGCTAATATTTATATTCTCTGTTTATTTTCAATATGTTTCCAGCGAACACAAGGATTCACCAGAATTTCTAGAATAATATTGCCTTTTATTAATCACCTGAAACCAGTCCTCCTTTTGTGATCAAACAGAGTATCCTCTATCCTTTGGATTGATGTAGGGTTCTGTAATTCTGGGAAAAGAAAGGTGCTTTGATAAATATGCTTGCTTCATTCTGGCTTATCAAATTATTTTTGTCTTCCCTCTCCGATCTGCACCTCTAATCTCACCTACTTCCACCTGTAATACCCCTTCCCATTCCCTTCCCTGGCATTTCTTTACAGTTGCCTTCATCAAGGACGGCCTGAGCCTTTGGACCTCCACCTGGGCATGTTCCTGCCCACATTACTAACCCAGGCAACCAAAGAACAGCAGGATCGCTTCTTCATGCCTGCTTGGAACTTGGAGATCATTGGCACATATGCCCAGACAGAGATGGGACATGGTACAGTACTTTCCAGCCTTATTTCACAGGGTAGAGTAGCTTTTGCAAAAGGTATAGACTTCTTGATAGCCCCTAGGTCATTTTGGCTGTTCAGTTGACAACAAGACATACTTCCCCTCTAAGAAAAAGAAGCTGTACAGAGAGGCAGAGGTTTCTGATGATACAAAGACAGCTTATTTGTTTAAAAAATGGCATTGCCAAAGAGTCAAAGCACATCTTCCCTTGATTTCTGAATGCCTTATGGCTGGCATACATAAAACAACATTCTAATTACACAAAACAATGTTTTTGTGCTTTAGAAAGAAAGTAAACCTGAAGAACAACGATTAGCAAATGCTCCTGTGCAAGAATTATGTAACTTCTGTCAAGTTAAAATACCTTTTTAAAACAACTTCTGCGAAGTATCTTTGCTACTGGTCCTGACTAATTATACATTCATACATTTTCTGGGAAACATCTTGACTTCTTAAACAGTCATTTTTATTATCTTTAAATAAAACAATACCTTTTGCAGGACCACTTGGAATAATTTCTCTTCCATACCCTTTTCTGCACCTTCTGATGTACTTCTGAAGTTGTACTTCTGTCAATTTTATGAAAGGGAGACACTGAAGATGAATATGATAGACAACCAACATGTCTAAATCTAACTTTTGCAATAGAGCCATACTTGTACATTCAAAACAGCACACATATATATATATGAGACTCATATTCTTACAGAAGATTGAAAAACATTATAAAAGTAAACGTCAAAAACTTTAACCTGGTTCTGAAGATTTTTGTGCAGGACCATGTCTGGATTTAGAGAAAAAGCCATTTTTATCCTAGAGCTTCTTTGGAAAGGAATTATCACGGGAGTCTTTAATTTACCTTGTTAGATACCTAACATATATTTGCACATGGTGATAAATCAGCAAGACAAAGGAGCTGCATAATTGTATAGCAATTTGACAGTATTCTTGCATTAAAGCAATTAGTAGAATGGCATGCATCCACTATTTCATATATGCTTTTCTTGTAATGTGTTTGCTATTTACCATTATGTAAATGTACATTTGCAAGCAGTTTTCTTATTTGCACTGCTCAGCTTTCCATTGCTAATGAAATTTGTTGAAATAATTCTAATTATGTACATTTGCGCGGAACTGTGCAACTGTTGAAATAGGATTTGCTACCTGCCTACAGGTACCCATCTCCGAGGACTGGAAACCACAGCCACCTATGATCCTGCTACCCAGGAATTCATCCTTAACAGCCCTACTGTGACTTCTATTAAGTGGTGGCCAGGTGGATGTAAGTGTATTATTATATGATTAAAGCTAAAGGAAGAGCTGTTTTTTTCCTGCAGACATTTTAAGTGTGGAGACAATTAACTATTGATGTGTTTTGAAATATAACTTTGGCTGTGTAATATTTTTGACCATTCTATACTATGGACATATGAGAAAAAAAAATTCTGGTTTCTGTTTTAGAGCTAAGCCTTACATTCAACAGAATAAAATTAACATTAGTTTTATTAGCTAATTTAGTATAAATATCAGAAGTAAATGTTTCCGTTTCACTATTTCTACATACTCCTTATTTAGACATTCTGCATATTCTTTATTCCTTCTATTTCATTTCAGTTTGGGAGTAAAAGGAAGTGCTTTTATGTTAGAGAATTTTAAGTTCTCTGTTGGTGAAAAAATAAATCAGAAGCTCTCACAGTTGACTGCATTTAGCTGATTCAAAATAACTTCTTTATATTTACAACACCATACATTCTTCTTTACAGCAACATAGCTTAATGAAGACTTCTTACAGAGAGATACAGAGACAAACCTGAGACTAAAAATTCAGCTCCTAACTCAATACCTTTTGCACAGACACAGTAGCACTTTCTTCACATTGGCTGACTGAGTTACCGCATGACTCTTCCTGCTCATGAATATTCCAACACTCCTCCCTTCATGACAGGAAGAGACATCAGACCTATTGACTTAATACATTCTCCATAGTGAACACCACCCAATGGTTTAGTCATCATGTCTGCCAAATTATCCTCAGAAGAACAATGATGTTAACTAATCAATTTTCCTTTTACAGCTTCCCTGATATTACAATACATAATGTCTACATGTTTACTTCTGTTCTTCACCCTGTCAGCATTGTCTTCAAATCTTACAGATTCTTTTACATTAATATTTAAATCTTGCAACAACTGTACATACCATGTTACTTCAGAACACGATTCAGATAAAGCAATAAACTCTGCTTCCGCTGATGAAATAGCAACGTTTGTTTTCTGGATTTCCATCCAATCAGAGTCCCTCCAAACAATATTATAATCCCAGAATTTGATTTCCTTGTGTTTATGTCATTTGCATAGTCACTATCGACATAACACTTTAATTTCAATTGCTCAGTAATCTGTATTTGAAGACCCAAATTTATAGTTCCCTTTAAATATCTGAGAACCCTTTTTACACCCATCCAATGTAATGTTGTAGGTGCAGCAGTAAAACGACTCAAAGTGCTTACTGCGCAAGCTGTGTCTGGTCTGGACCACTGTGATAGATATAACAAACTCTCTATTGCTGAGTGATATATCTCTTGATCACAGGTTTCACCTTTGTCCGCACTTAAACTATTTTCACAGTTGGCGCAAATACTTCATCGTAGTGCACATTCTTTAATTGTGAAAAACCTTGTGCCACTAACCTGGCCTTATACTGTACATCATTATTTTGCAATACCTTTTTCTTATATACCCACTTACAACCCACAGCTTTGGTTCCCTGTGGCAAAGTCATTGATTTAAATACTTCATGGTCTCCCATGGATTTCATCTCTTTATCCATGGCCTCCTTCCATCTTTCTTGTTCAGCTTTTGGTAATGCCAACACTTCTTTATAACTTCTTGGCTCATACCACACATTGCAAACCTTTACCTTGCTGGCAGAATACCTGTCAGGCGGAATTCCTTTATTACATCGCTCTGACCTACGTGGTATTAACTGCTCCTGTGTCTCAAGTCTATCTGGCTTCATGTCTTGTTCAGCCTCTCCTCCCTGAACATTGACATTTTCAATAATCATTTTTTTTATCATTAGATGAGTTATTGTCATTAAATAGATCACTGTCATTAAGTGAGACATACCCAGAATTTGCATTAATTCTGTCCCAATTTTGTTCTGCAAAATTAGCAGACCTTGAAATTACAATTCTTTTACTTCCATCGCTAAAGCGATATCCTTTTGACCCTGGCTCATAGCCCACAAACCTGAGCTTTCTTGCCTTTTGCTGTCCCTTTCTTCTGATTGCTTTCAGACTATGTACCCACGCAGTACTTTCAAAAATTCTCAAATGTGCCAGTGATGGCTTTCTCCCATATAGAATGGCATATGGAGTATTATTAATGGAGGAACTCCACAGTCTGTTAACTACATAATTGGCAGTCAATATGGCTTCTCCCCAATATGACCTGCTCATACCAGCAATGAATCTTTCATTGTTTGCAAAACACCATTCCTTCTTTCAGCTACACCATTCTCTGCTGCTGTGTAAGGATTTGTACAACTGTGTCTTATCCACCAATTGCCCCAACCATTGTTGGAATTTAGTTGACATAAATTCAGTACCTCTGTCAGTTTGCAACTGACACACTTGTTGTCTGCACCTTCTCTCTACAAAACTTACCTACTGTTTGAATTGTTGTAGCACCTCTGTCTTTGCTCTAAGCAAGTAGCAAAACGAATACCTGCTATAATCAACAATTACCAGTGCATATTTTGCTCTTCCCAAACTGGCTTGCATAGGTCCCACCAGATCTGCATGGACCAGCTCTAGAACTCTTTTTGTTTGTCTTGTGCTACATTTACTAACTGGGAATGCCTTTGACTTCGATGCTTTGCATACTGCACAGTCCAAATATGTTTTTCATCCCTTCAAATTTAGCCCTTCTGCAAACTCTTGCATTTGCTGCAAAACTTTAAAGCTTGCATGGCCAAGTCTTCTAGTAGAAGATGAACACACGAATCGTGCTCTGCAACATTCTTAAATATATGGGAACATTGAACCTTTTGTCCCTGCAGTACATATAGATTATCTTCCTTTATGCCTTCTGCACAAATATTCCCATTCCTTTTGATGAGACACTTCCCATTTACAAAAATGGTCTCAAAACCTTCTTTGTCTAAATTAGACACACTTAACAAATTATGTTCCATCTCAGGTACACAAAGTGCATTGGTAAACTTTGATTCTAATGTGGAATTTTTACATCGCCTCTTCTGATGACTTTTGCTTTCTGGCCATTTGCCAAAGCTACAGCTTCTTGTGCTACTGGAACAAACCTGCAAAATAATTCAGAGTCATTAACAATTGTTTGACTTGCCCCACTATCTATTAGCCACTTGTCTCTGTTGTTGCTATAGCAAACTTTTGCAACACCAAAATGTTCCTTTTGCAAATCAGTCCTTTTTGCTTGCACAAATGTCCTTCGCTGCAAATTGTTCCTCTGCAAACAGTTCTATTTCAGATGTGTGTTTGCTCCACAAATGTAGCAATTCTTTTCTTGCTGAGCCCTCTGCTTGCAAAATCTCTCTTTTGATGCAACTTGGTCCCATCTGGACCCCCTCCTCAGGAATTTTACCTCTTCGTGGCTGCTTCTAAAATGGCACTTTTCTTCTTCATTAAGCAAACATGTCTTTAAAGCCTCAAAATTTAAGTCTGGCTCTTCTTTACACTCAAATATCGCAGAAACTGTGTCCCAGGTTTTATCTAAACTGTTCAACACCAATAAAACCTTCTGGGACTCAGGGAATTTAATCCCACGTTGTTCTAAGTCCAAAAATAAACTTTGCATTTTATTTAAATGCTGTTCCACAGATTCACCTGGTTGCAAACAGGCCCTGTAAAGTTTTCTTGATAATTGCACTATATTGCATGCAGAAACATTCACCTGCACAGCTCTCAACTTCAACCAAATCTCCTTTGCAGTCTTTAAATTTGCAACATATAGAAATTGTTCATCATCTAAATTCAAGATGAGATAAGCCATTGCTTGAGCATGACTTTTCTGATCAGCAGCTGCAAACACTTGTGGATTTTCTATGATATACCACAGATCTTTTGCTTTGAGCAAACATTCCATTTTAGCACCCCACACAATGTAATTCTTCTGGCCCAAACGAGGCACAGAGTTTTCCTTAAATTCCATTGCAGCCATTCTGCTAATTCTGCCTTGTTCTTATACTTTCTAAACACAGGCAATTTCTTCCAGCTTTAAATTACAATGCAGTCCTTAGTAAGCTCTGGGCCCACAACCTGTTAGAGAATTTTAATTTTTCTGTTGGTGAAAAAATAAATCAGAAGCTCTCACAGTTGACTGCATTTAGCTGATTCAAAATAACTTCTTTATATTTATATCAAAGTATTTACAATACCATACATTCTTCTTTACGGCAACATAGCTTAATGAAGACTTCTTACAGAGAAATACAGAGACAAACCTGAGACTGAAAATTCAGCTCCTAACTCAATACCTTTTGCACAGACTCAGTAGCACTTTCTTCACATTGGCTGACTGAGTTACCACATGGCTCTTCCTGCTCATGAATATTCCAACATTTTATATTATAAAACCTATAACAGTCTATTGTCTGTATTATTATTTTAGTGGTCAAACATGTACACAGGATGCTTCTTGGACTGTACAAATAAACTTCCACTTGCTAAGTTGTCTTTTTCCCTCCCTTCTTGCAGTGGGCAAGACATCAAACTATGCCATTGTTTTGGCTCAGCTTTATACGCAAAACAAATGTCATGGGTTACATGCTTTCATTGTGCCTCTACGTCAGTTGGGAACTCATGAACCACTGCCAGGTACTGTATTAAATCTGTCACTACTAGATTGCGTTCCCTGAGATTTGAAAATTATTTCAAGAGTTCCTCCTGGGTAAAAAAAAAAAGGTGGAGAAAGTCTGCTCAAGTGAATATCTAGCATATTAGCTGCCATATAAATGAATCACAAACTCTATATTGAAACAATATGAGATGTCCAGCTGGAAACATTTGGCACCACAAATCTTCAAGGGCTACACCATGTTGGGAAAAATTCAATGTAAGGAAGTACTTGCAGTCCTGTAGTCAGTGAGCTAAAAGAAACAGTGTTCATAAGAAAGCAAAAATACACATATTGTGCTACAGTTTTTCAATTCCATATCACAGCATACTAAGGAAAATTGGTTTTTTTAGTTAAAATGATTAACTGTACATAGTAAAATGCTTTAAAAACCCTGACTTCTAATTAACAGATGTTACCAAGTTAGATATACTTTTTTAAGAGAACATAAAAGTTTTCCTTAAAGCATGTTATTAGCATTACAAGAATATCGGTAGTAGTTTGTAAAGAATATGGAACTCGAAACTACCATGTTATTATTTTTAAAAGGGGGAAATGTTGCTAAACAGAATCCATTTTTACAAATAATCTTATCCATTACCCATGTTTTCCCCAAAATAAGACCAGGTCTTATATTAATTTTTGCTCCAAAAGAATCATTAGGTTTTATTTTTGGGGACATACGGTACTAAATGTGTCCGTCTGGCTCATGATCTTAACTGGGGCTTATTTTTGGGATGGGGCTTATATTACAAGCTTCCTGAAAAATCATGCTAGGGCTTATTTTTCAGTTGGGTCTTATTTTCGGGAAAACATGATAGTTAAGATTTAATTTCTCATAATTCAAGTAACATTAAAATTCCCTAAATGTGTGTATTAGCCCATGCTGTAGTGATAAAATAAAGTTGTAGGTCCTTTTGTATTTGATGTCAAGAACTCTGAATCTCGGTGCATTATGTAGGAACCCATAACAGCGCATCTGGATAGTAGGGAAGTCTTCCTCTACATTGATGAATGGGCAAAGATTGAATACTCACTCCTAACTGAAAAATCACAGCCAAAACAACTTATTTTAATATTGCCAGAGTAAAAAGAATATTATTAAAACCTGATTTCCAGTCTTAAATTTTGTGAATTTAATATCACTTTGTTTTCAAGATGGGAACAAAATAATATCAATGCTTTAGCAAAAAAAAAGAAAATAAAGCTACATCTATGTATCACTACAAATGAAATGAACATTTTTGCAACTGTGGCCTTAAAGTCTTAGTTTCAGTTCAGAGTTTTGGAATTTGCATCTTTGGTGCTCCCACCATTTAGCACTTTGGACTACTTGATGTTGGGAAAAAGGATACTTTATGAACACCCCCCCCCCCCAATTCATTTATGTATTAAGAATATTATTAAGAACCAGGCAAATGTCTTTGGCTTATTCTGTTTGTAGGTATCACCATTGGTGACATTGGCCCAAAATTTGGTTATGATGAAATGGATAATGGCTACTTAAAAATGGACAACTTCCGTATCCCCCGGGAAAATATGCTAATGAAATATGCCAAGGTAAACAGTGGATCTTGTTTTGTTTTTGCTATTTATCTATGCCAGCTGTTCAGACAGCTTGAGAGAGAAACTATCCAAAGTCAAGGCTTCATATTCTCAGGAAGTAATTGATCATCTAATAGTCAGAAGCAATCCCCAAGTTTGTGTTAAAGAACCATCAGAGGTAAAATCCAGCTGTATCTCATTTGTCTGGGAGTTCTGCTGGTTCTCTCACTACCAGCTCTTGAACTCAACTTCCTGGAAGTTGTTCAAGAGTGTTTGTTGCAGTTTGTGGTAATAGAGGAGGAAGAATCTCTGTCAAATGAAGGCAGTAAATGGGAGGGCAGGGTGACTATTAATGTCAAATAGATTCTGGCTTCCGCCCCTGTCCCTCACCTCTTATATAAGGAATGTTAATAACATTTTAACTATCTGGTCTTCCTTTTCATAAATTTACTAGCCATCTGTATTACATAACTACCCTACTGTTGTCTATTAACTTTGTTGTCAGTGTATGTGAAACTGCTTAGATAATATGACCTAGTTAGCATGACAGTGATGTCATTGGCTTCACAACATATGCAAAGCAAGAGACAATTAGGGAAATAGATTTATGCAAGTTGGTTAATTTTAAATTACTTACCTGTTGCTTCATGTCAGTGATGTCCAAAACATTCATTTATAACACCAATGAATAGAAATAATTATAAAATGCTAATATTTTTGAAGAGGGGCCTAACAAGAATTTTTTAGTGGATCCAGTGACATAGTACAATGTTGGTTTTTATAATCTTACAAACTTGGTGGACAAACTCTTTCCACCTTCACTGCTTTATTTTACTAGGTTGAACCCGATGGCACATATGTGAAGCCTCTCAATGCCAAGCTGACATATGGGACCATGGTATTCATCCGTTCAATTATCGTTGGAGATGCCGCTCACAGTTTAGCCAGAGCTTGTACAATTGCCATCCGCTATAGTGCTGTGAGACATCAGTCTGAGTTAAAGCCTGGGTAAGAAGCCTGTAATAATATCCCTAAGGTCATTTTTTGTAATGCCATAACAATTGGCAAACCTCTCTGCCACCTTGCCCAGAGCAGTTTTGCCCATGAAAAAAAAATGTGCGTGCGTGACTTCTTTAAAAAACAAAAAGTTTGATTTTCAAAACATGTTTCCTTGGGAAGTGCCATTGTCAAGAACAGTGTAGAAAAGCCCAGCAATGACCTTTGAGAAGATGTACAGGATCTGTTAGCAAAATTTGAGCTTGAGGAAAACCAGTTAAGCACAAGAAATAGACTTGTCTTGCCTTAAGTCTCTTTGGTGTAATAGGGAGAAAACCCTGTCAGACCTCCAAGGATCCTAGTATATCGTCTGGAGTCTATTTCTTGACCTGACTTACCTTGAACATCTAACAAGCAGAATTTTCTGGCAAATTTTGCAAACCAATTTTAACATCTACTGTGGATTTTGTGAATCAGAAAAATAGTTGCTTTGTAAAAAGAAAATCTACTACCCCACTCCCGGCCCCCATTTGTGTCATTTTGACTACACGCAGTTGAATCAGAGCTGTCGTCAGGACTAGCCCTATATTGGGAACCATTGTTATTGGGGATCTGCCAATTTGTGATGATACAAAATCGGCCAGGAGATGGTAAACAGTTGCATGGCAACCACAGTATAAATTGTAAATCTTGAGTCAGGAATAAAATAGAATTGTCCCAGAACTGCAGTCATTTGTTCACAATTGCCATTGAATTAATGTCCTAAACTATTTCACTATTTCTATTTTTCCCATTCCCTCCCCCTTTTGGACTTCTCTCCTGTATTTTGCTAGTTACTTAACCTCTTTTGTCTTTTGAAAAAATGAGAAATAATTTTATTGGCCACATATTGGACCAAGCCAAGATCACTTTTACAAGTAAATATGTTTGTACTTTGAATGTATTTGTCTTCAGAATATACCCTTAGGATAGTGTAAGTCTTTGGTTTTTTTCTTTTTCTAAGGAATTAAATCATACATTATAGTGATTTAGTTCTCTCTTTTATTTGCTTTGTTCCAGGGAACCAGAACCTCAGATTTTGGATTATCAGACCCAGCAATACAAACTCTTTCCTCTCCTAGCAACAGCATATGCTTTTCACTTTGTGGGTTCATATATGAGAGATACATATCATCGCATCACTGGGAACATCCAGGATGGAGACTTGAGTGAACTGCCAGAGGTGGGGTTCATGATCTTACAGAACACTGCCATTGACAACTATATGGCTTAGTTTGTTCTTTCAAGACAATGGAATAAAGATAATTCCTGGGAAGAAACAGAATCAGAAAAAAAAGAGAGAGGGGCTATGAGTATCACAGATAAATTCTTAGAAGTGATTGATACTGTCTCAGTTTAAATCCCTTTTTCTTCCTCACCTATTTAGAACACCTTTGTGGAATGTTTTCATAATGAGAATAAATGAGATGGATAAGCTCACAACTGGGATTAGGGCCTCAAGATGATTTTTCTAACATCACTGTTTAGACCAGCAAATAAATCATTAAAAATATGTATTGGGTTCCACTTCTGGTATGCTAGTCATTTAAGTTGTTATTATTTTTTTTACAAAAGCTTGATAATGGGACCTAAATTCTGATTTGGACTTGTTCCTGAAAATTTACCCTGCAAATTTTTGTAAACCTTTGTCCTTTATGAGTGTTACATGCATATGTATGTACATACAAAGCTCAGTGTCATGCGTTCTGAGTTCAACAGCTATATAAATGATTTACTAAATGTAACACTGGTGTAAATCAAAAAGTGGACATCACAGACTATGGGATGGAATTTTTATGATTTGCTCTGATGACTTGTGGTTCGAAGATGTTAAAAATTCTACATAGTACAGTGTGCTTTATGACTTGACAGAATGTCCCTTCTTCTTGGAGTTTTAAAATCTCTAGGAAGAATTTTGATCTTGATGATAATCTGGATTACCATTCTTAACCTCTTCTCTCTTCCATCCCTACCAAAAATTCAGGAAGATAGAATTTAGTGACAGGACAAATCTGGAAAAAATAATTACTTTGTTCTTAATTACTTTCTTTCTCAGTTGCATGCACTGTCTGCAGGGCTCAAGGCGTTCAGTTCCTGGACTGCCAGCACTGGCATTGAGGAATGTCGGATGGCATGTGGGGGACATGGCTACTCCCGCTGCAGTGGTTTGCCTGATATTTATGTCAACTTCACTCCTTCTTGCACTTATGAAGGAGAGAACACTGTGATGATGTTGCAAACTGCCCGGTGAGTCATACCACTCATTGTTAACTGTGTGTCTTTTTGTATGTCTTTCTATCATCTTTGTCATTTTTTTCATGTCTCTGAGTGAATGACTGAATCTCATTGATGGTGCTTATCACCCTTCAACAGCCCTGGGTGATATTTATTATTAATTAATCAAAGTTGTATGGCCACTTGTTTCATAAAAAGGTGTCTCTAAAAATTTATATATTTATAATTTCAATTTCTATGATTCCCCACTAATACACTATTGGATGGTTTACAAATCTTACAACAACAATATGAACAATGTTCACAGTTTGGGAAGAATACTGTTCCAGAGACCAGGTGCAATGACATAAACACATCTGGCATCTACAGTAGTGACCAAAATTGTGGAACACTTTTGGGAAAAGTGTACAGTAGAAATGCCACCTTTGGTTACGTTTCCACCAATTTTTCTTCTAATTTCTTTATAACTGTAGCCTTGTTCACTTAATAATGCTATTTTACATCGCTTTCTGGGAAACCAGTCAACTCTTTGCACCATTACTTCAATTTTATTACGTTTTACAAGCTCACTAAATGAAAGGAAAAAAAAACCCAACCAACTTGATAGTGATCACATAACACACTAACAAATGTCCTCCTCTCAGCTTCAATACATGACATCAATAACTGAATCCTATTGTAATCTGATTGGCTCATTGCCAAAACAAGATGATATCTGATTGGCTCTCTAAACACTCATGCTCATTGGCTACAATCAGATGAAGGAAAGCTACCTGATATCAACCTAAGCAAGTTATGCTTCCTTTTTCTAGTTATTTGGCTATAACCTTTCATAGAATACAGTACAGATAATTGAACAAACTATGTTGCATTACATTCTTGATTAAATTATCTTTCCATTGATATATAATTTTATGGTACTACTACAAAAAAGGTGATGTTATTAGCCATCAAACCTCAAAAATACACTTTCCCCAAAAGGTTTCCACAATTTTGGCCACTACTGTAAATATGAACAACATATTAAGACAACATAAGAATAAATTCCATAAGAGATAACTCCATAAAGTCAATTTTTAAAAATCTTGAAACTCAAGCAGTAAAGTAAAACAAAGTATCTCCATCTACACCAGATGGAGTCAGGTGGATGAGTCTGTCTAGAGCAGACATGTCAAACACAAGGCCCGTGGGCCGCATCTGGCCCACGATTGGCTGATATTTGGCCCCCGGGGATGCCCCAGAGATGGCGAGGGACTGGCCCCTGCCACCCTGGCCCCTGCCCCGCCCAGCCTGGCGGACCCCAAGGCGTGCACATAGGTGGTGAGTGCAAGGGGGCCGACGGCATCCCGGAGCAGGGGCTGCATAGCCTGTGTGAATACTGGACCAGCACTCCAGCAGCAGTGCTGCAGTGGCACCAGCAGCACACACAGAGTCGAGGGCATGTGATGCGGACCACCGGACATGCCTATTCTATCTCATCTTTTTGTTTGGAGTGCAGGTTGCCACTGGTCATCTCCTCAGTCCCCTTGAGGGTCTTGCCCTTGGCCTGTGGGTGGAGCACATTCCCCTCACGCACCTCATTATCTGCCATGGCTACTAGCCGCTTGCACGGGTCCATTAGGCTGCCACCTAGAGCTTGAAAGAGGCAAAGTGGTCAGCTAGGAAGCCCTGAATATAGGTGGTAGAGCATGCCCAGAGCCAGCAGGCAAAAGGCCACCCCGAGCGGGGAAAGCTGGATCCCCATCAGTGCCATGGCCGCCCAGGCCCAGCACAGATGGGGAGGCACGCCATCCAGCTGGGACTGGGCGGCCATGGCACTGATGGGGATACAGCTTTCCCTGCTTGGAGTGGCCTTTTGCTTGCTGGGCATGCTCTACCACCTCTACTTGGCGCTTCCTAGCTGGCTGCTTCATCATCTTTGTGCTGGGTGGGCCGGCTGCTCTGGGCAGCAGAGGCAGACTAATGGACCTTCACAAACTGGTGGCGGCAGCCTGAGGCAGGGCCAAGGTGCATCGGGTAAGCAAGGGGAACAGGCTCCATGCACGGGCCAAGGGCAAGATCTGCGAGGGGGCCGAGGAGATGACCATCAATGACCTGCTCTCCAACCGTAAGCAAAAACAGATGGGACAGAGTAGGTGCATCTGGCGGTCTGCATCACGTGCCTCCCCTCTCCCCTACTCCGCCTGCTGCTGGAGGGCTGCTTGGTATTCACAGCGGGCTGCTGAGCCCCAGAATGTGTTGATCAAGGGGCCAGCAGGCTGTGGCTGCTGACGGACATCATCGGCCTCCATGCACTCGCTGGGCTCTGTGTTTGGTGGCCGATGGTGTCAGGCAGCAAGAAGGAAGAAACATAATAACTTGAACCTCTGCTGAAGATACTATTTTAATAGCCCAAAATGCAAAGGATATGCAAGGTCTACTAATAAAAAGTCAAGGAACATGGTGAAAAAAAAATATGAAAGAAGACCAAACTAATGACAACAGGTAGAACAACCATTCTTAAAATGATAATCAAGGTATCAAAATGGTACATAGTTTCTGTCTTTTAGGGTCAAACATCAACAGTAAAGGAACAAGCAATCAAGAAGTATGCCCCAGATTAGCACATAGTAGAAAAGATATTCAGATGCATGTCTATTTGGAAAAGATATTCAGATGCATGTCTATTTCTACAAAGATCGGAATTGTGCAAGCAGGGGTATTCCCTGTGACACCCTGTGGAAGTGGAAGTTGGACTTTTGCTTGAAGCACGTTAGGAAAATGTTGAAGTTTTTGGTGTTGGAGAAGATTCCTGAGAACACCATGGACAGCCAAGAAAATAAACAAGTGGATCATGAGCAAATCAACCCAGAGTTCTCATCTGAGAAACAAATTGTCAGGCTCAAATTACCCTATTTCAGATATATTACCCAGTTCTCTAGAGTAGGCTCTAATTCTAGGTGGAAGATGGAAGAAAAGAGAAGAGTGTGACCAGCAACAAAGCAGATGGGCTTGGTTATAGTGGCAATGCGTGCATTATTGAAAGATCCGAAGGGAGGGGGTTGGGTCATAATGTCACGGGGGAAAAAATATGTGGTCACTAAAAATCGACACAGATTTGATGGCATATAAATCAATCAATGTGTGAAATATTCTGGTTAAGTGCAGCTTTTGACCCTGTTTTTTATAATCTAAGCCAGGGGTAGGCAACCTTGGCTCTTTTATGACTTGCTGGCTCAGGAATTCTGGGAGTTGAAATCCACATGTCATAAAAGAGCCAAGGTTGCCTACCCCTGGTCTAAACTGACACAAGCTACATTATTGACACCTTTTTTACTTTCATAATTTTATCCCAGATGTGTTTTTTTATAGTGCAGCTGATGATAAAAATTATAAGGTAATTTACTGCCTTATGACATGAAATCATTTTGTTTTGCATTTTAGATTCCTTGTCAAAAGTTATACCCAAGTTAGTTCTGGACAACTAGTTAGTGGCATCATGTCTTACTTGAATGACCTTTCAGGACAGCATATTCAGCCCCAGCATGTGGCTGCTAGACCCACGACTCTGCATATCAACAATCCTTCCAGTTTCGTGGAGGCATATAAACTGAGAGCTTCAAAGTAAGTCAATATAAAAGGTTATAAAATTTCTCAGCATAATTTCAGACTGCTCATCTTGTCTAATTTTTATTAACCAAACCGCTCCCTTGGCTACTTCGTTCTAACAATTTCATATCCAGCTGATTTGATCTGGATGGGATTTGGCAGTTGCCGCTAACATGGTCTTACATGGTTCATATAATGGACCCAGCTCTAACTGACGAATGTGAGATACTAATTGACAACTACCAGAAATATGTATCAGGGTGTAGCAACTGTATGTTGCTAGGGCAGAAACTGCCAGAACATTGCATGTTTGAGAGGAGGACAAAGCAGAAGGCAGTCATAAATATTAGTGAAGTGCCAGACTGCTCAGTAATTAATCTTTCATGGAACGGTTTGAAATGGACCCCACAGTAGATGGAACCCTGTTAAGAAAGATTTGATTAGAAGAGCAGTTATTTCAAAAATTGATCAAGGGATAGTACCCCTGAAAATCTCTTTAAAAACACTACTACTGACCCAGAAAATAAGAGTCAAATCCCTTTTTCATAGTCTTCTTAAAAAGGGGGGGGCAGTGCTGCCTAATAGAGTCCAGCATTCCTGCTTATGTTTCAGAGCAATGGGACTAAGACTACTCGTGTACAGTTATATCCTGGGATCACTTTTGAGCAAGGTCAAATGCAATGGCTTCCCTACTGTGAACTAATATGTAGCTGAAATTGCAAAGGGGGAAGGTATTATTATGTTCAATCAAGTGTAACACAAATTATATTAATACTATATCACCCTTTGACTTTGGATTTTGCTGATTAGATATGTTTGTTATAGAAATGGCTTGTTCATATTAAGTATGTAAAAGTAAAATGTTTAGGCTGTAATGTTACTGTTTTATTCTACTGTGATATAGTCAGAAGTCAATGCATTTCTTTTTTCCTTTTTATCTTACACTTCTTTCTCTTCCCTTTTGCCTCCTCCATTTTCCCACTATTTTCAATTTCCTTTGTATTTTATAACTTGATAAGCTTAATAAAATTATTAATAACAACAGCATATCACTCTTAATTCTCGGTCTATGACTAATAGAAGGAATAAATAACTTTTCATGCAATGATGTTCCAAATGTTATTACTATTAAAATAGGACACATTAGAGAGCAGCAAATAAAATGGGAAAGTAAACCAGAACAGCTGTCACTGTTACTATTACTAACACTTCAAAGGCCTTGTTTGCATTTATTATGATCAACTGACAGCAATATTAAAAATTAGTATTTAGGCCATAAGAATGAGACTGTCTTCTATTTAATATTTGAAAATATGGGGCAAAATTTACATTGACTGCTTTGTGAGAGAATGGAAATTATTATTGTTCATCTTACAGAGTAGGAATAAAAGCTGAAGTTCACTAGCAGTAAAAGCTGAATTGAGTTTAGATTTTAAATCTTTGGCTTTGTCAACCATCAGAAATTTGAGGCTATGGTTATTTATCACTGCCATTATCAATTTTCAGATGTTACTACCCGAATGTTATTTATGGCCTCAATTCTAAGTATAATAAGCTCTGCTTCTGTTTTTCTACAATACAGGATGGTTGAGTTTGCAGCAAATAATTTACAGGCTGAACTGACCCGTTGGAAAAGCAAAGAAGATGCTTGGAACCGGACTTCAATTGATCTAGTACGAGCATCTGAGGTCAGTGGCACCTTATAATATGGTAGATACTCTTGGATTGTTGTTGGATTTTACAACATTTGAAGTCACTTCAATCTGTCATCTAACTTTTTCAGGCACACTGTCATTATGTGGTGGTCAAACTGTTTACAGAGAAGCTGTCAGAAATTGGTGACCCAGATGTCCACGCTGTCCTTAACAATTTGTGTTTACTGTATGCTCTGTGTGGGATTATAAAGAACTCTGGAGACTTTCTACAGGTGGGTAAATAATTTCTACTTTGAGCTGAATGGTTCTGTTAGACAGGGAATCTAGTTGAGATGTGAATTAATCAGACCTGGAGGGAAAAATCTTGTGATGGTATAATTTGACAACAAAGATAAGGTTAGATTAGCATGGATAAAACAAAGACACCCTAAGTTGGGCTTGGAGTATATTTTTGCCATACAGCAGTGTTTCCCAAACTTGACAATTTTAAGGCATGAGGACTTCAACTCCCAGAATTCCACAGCCAGCATTGCTGGCTGTGGAATTCTGGGAGTTAAAGTCCACATGCCTTAAAATTGTCAAGTTTGGGAAACATTGCCATACAGAGCAGGCATTTATGGAATGTAAATAAACATGTAGGCAGTATTTTGCCCTTTGGGAATTGCAGTGTCTAAATTGAAAATATTGTGCTAAAATGACATTTTCAGCTCTCCAAAATTAAATGAAAATGATATAAAAACTGTAAATGATTGAATTCTTACCATTCCTTACCAAAGCTCGTAGGGTAACTGCTAAACATTTCACAGTGATATCACTGATGCTTTTCTAAATCTGGATCTTCTTAAAATTGGGAGCAGGAAGGTATTTTATGTGAGAGCATACTAAAGTTTAGTAGATGAACATTAACCACGATAATAGCAATTTTATTCTTAAGAAAAGCAATACCATTTTTTAAATGCTCATTTTCAATCTTAATTGTTCATCTAGAATTAAAGTTCAGGTCAGATTTGTTTACTGGAAATATCAGCTTTTATATTAATTCTCCCTAAACACTTAGAGATGTAGAACTCTGACTGTTCTGAACTTTTCTTTTTGCTTCAGGGAGGCATTTTGACGGAAGCCCAGCTAATTCAGGTGAACATGCACATAAAAGAACTCTTGGCTCTTATCCGTCCTAATGCAGTAGCTCTGGTGGATTCCTTTGATTTTTCTGATTCTATGCTTGGATCTGTGCTTGGCCGATATGATGGTAACATATATGAAAATATGTTTGAATGGTCAAAGAAGTCACCACTAAATAAAACACAGGTAAGTAATTGCTTTTGTCAATCAGATACTAAAGGCTCATAAGACATACAGCAAGTTTTCAATCTATGATCATTCTGTCAGCTACAGTCTGAGTTACAAAGGTGCTGAATGAATAGTGATGATGGCTGGTCCTCAAAGTTCCAGCCATCCAAGAACCCCCTCAGCAGCCAGCTTGCACTTACGACCAGTTGCAGTATCCCGTGATCACATGATTGCCATTTTCAACCTTCCCTGCCAGCTTCCTCAGAAAGTCAATGGGGAAGCTGGCAGGGAAGCTTGTAAATCATTGGGTTAAGTCTTCCCACTCATATACTCTCCTTCAACATCTCTGTCTCCACACAGGCCATTCCCACACACCTACCTTAAGACTCACTGCCTCTTCCCTGACACTCATGCACTTTCTGCATTCTCTCCAAACCTTCCCCCATTTCCCTCACATCCTCCTCCACCCAGCAGCATCCACTTACCTGCCTGCCAGGCTTCATGTAAGCCACCTGGGACTTGCAACTTCTCGCTGGTTTCCCCACTGACTTAGCTGTGGGAAGCCAGCAGGAAGTTGCCTTGCCTAACAACCATGAAATTCAGTTAACCATAATAACAGGACTACAGGAATTTGCCATCACTAAACAATGTAATTGTATTTTAATGTAATGTATTTTACAACTGCATTGCTTATGCCAGAAATTCCAGTCTCAATAGCTGTTGTAAGTCAAGGATTACCTGTAGCAATAAAAAGCGATTATTGGCTAATATTTTTAAAATGGATAGATTTAAAAATCAGTTCACCAATATGTATAGTTTATGAACCTGCAGATGTATAGAAATGATCATCTGCAGATTCATAAACTATTGTTTTATGAAGTTATGGAAATATATTATGATTCTGTGCTCTTTCCTTAGGAGGAATTATTTAGCTCTAATGGGGAACTAGTTCACAGAAGCCAGGATTGCTATATTGAAAATGATGGCAAAGAGAATATGTGGTTATACTGATCTACAACTTCATAAACTAATCATGCAACAATATCAATAAAAATTGCTATATGCTTTTTTGCTAATGATAAAAACAGTTCATTTTATGTAATTCTTGAATACTTGTATAATTTTTCCTGGTTATGGTATACTTAATAGCAACTAAAGCTATCTGAATAAGGAAGCTACTATACTACTATAATCTACTACTACTATAATCTACTTTTTCTGCCAAAATATTAGAGAATACTGGACTTTTTTCTTTCTGTTAGTAGAAATTGATTTGATGCAATTGCACATGTATAGCTGAATTCACTAAAGCAGCAGTCCAGTGTGCAATTGGGAAATACATTGTTCTAGTAAGAAGTGAGGTATGGTTTGTCTTTAAAATTAATGCCCCCTCTTATTTTTTTCCCTCTAGGTCCATGAATCTTTCCACAAACACCTGAAGCCATTGCAAGCTAAACTGTGATAACATTTGTTTGGTTTTGAATATATTTTAGTTTCTTGAAATAACATAATTTGCCCTGTGAACATCTGAAGCACTTGGCAAATCCAAATAGCCATAGGATAGTAATTGTAGACTTCTCACTTTTTTAAAAAAACAACAACAAACAATTAAATATTGAATGAATTAGAGCATGGAAACAAAATGCAATTTTAATTATGTTCAGAAACTATCCTTTTTAATGAATCAGAAAAGCTTTATAGATTGGTGTAAAAGGATCAGTCTGTGAGCCTTTTAAGCATCTGCAGAAGCTGTATTATCTGTAGCAGGTTTTTCACTACTAAGTAGTTCTAGAAGGCAGTTATTGAGTAGAAGCAACATCTCTGGAAGCTCCTTTTAAAATGGTCTTGCACATTTTTAAACATTAATGCCATCTTAAGAGATGGTGGTTGTCAAAGCCCACCTGCACTTAAATCTATTGCTGTAAGATTTTCACAGCCTCATCAGGAATTGGGCTTCAGGGACCTTGCACAAACATCATATGTATATACCTGTTTGGTGTTCCAGGAATGGATGATTACCTTATGGGTACAATCTGTGACATTCTTAATGTTTGTGTACAATTTCACTTTCTGAATTCCAAATGGCATGCACATGCTCTATATTACATTTCCCATAAAATTGTCTATAGCACACAGGCAAGATCTCTCTCAAGGCAGAAAATTGAATGGGAAAATGTCAGGAGTCCCATTCCATAGCAATATTGTCATTTGCAAAGCCGCTGGGGAGGGAAAATCTTTGTTCCACACAAACTGTAAAGTATATTTAAGATTCCTATGCCTGGTTTTGCTCATAGGCTTTTTTTCCTGAAACACTTAATTTTTTTAAATGGTGGAACATGGATTTTTACCTCATATAATCATAGACAAGAAGAGAGTCCAAACTGGTGGGCCCATCAGCCTACAGTCTGGCTCTTAGAAGGCTACAGAGAACAGGTTACCACATTAAAGGATCTCAGCTCTAGATTACTGTTAGCAGGCTAACATTTTAACATTGTGTAGAATTTTATTGTGTGAAATTACCATGACAAAATTGCAGCAGATAGGATGGATTCAGCTTCAGTAACAAATCAAGACTTGGATCACAAACCAAGGAATTTCATAACATTGGAGAGTTGATTTCTTAATATGTATCCCTGTTCAAGAGCTAAAGGTGCTCTTATACTGCAAATGTTGAGCAAGAAAAATATTACATATTACAACTGAAACAAAAACTGTTTATAATTTTAATGTGCTAACTATTGATACATCTAATATAGCTGTACTTAATATACTGGATTTCTGTGTACAATACTGACTGGAAACGAAAAACTGCAATAAAAGATTATTTGACATCTTATGAAGAATATGTGGTATACTTAATAAACTAATTTTCAAATAGTAAAACGTACTTTTCCGAGTGTTCGCTAAGCCATCTGCTCCTTCCTACTAATAGTTTTTGATGTGTAATTTTCATTAAGCTAAAGATCACAGGAAAAATGGCTTGTCACAAACAAGCCTGCAAAGAGGGCAAGCCAAACTGAGGACATGATAAAAATTTAATTTTTAAGTAGAGGGTTTTTCCCTGGAGGTGAATGATTTCCTATGGAAGTTGCAAGAGATAACAGTATGAGGCTTTCTAGTTTGGGAAGAAAAGGATAAGAGGCTGAAGCAAAGGATGTTGGGTACTGATATTCTACATTTAGGCAAGAAAAACCAAATGTACAAGTATAGTATAGGGGGTACCTTGCTCAATAGTAGTTAACTGTGAGAGGGACCTCGGAGTCCTAGTGGACAATCACTTAAATATGAGCCAGCAGTGTGCTACAGCTGCCAAAAAGGCCAACACAGTGCTAGGTTGCAATAACAGAGGGATAGAATCCAGATCACGTGAAGTGTTAATACCACTTTACAATGCCTTGGTAAGGCCACACTTGGAATACTACATCCAGTTTTGGTCACCACGATGTAAAAAAGATGTTGAGACTCTAGAAAGAGTACAGAGAAGAGCAACAAAGATGATTAGGGGACTGGAGGCTAAAGTATATAAGGAACAGCTGCTGGAATTGGGTATGTTTAGTTTAACGAAGAGAAGGACGAGGGGGGGACATGATAGCAGTGTTCCAATATCTCAGGGGCTGCCACAGAGAAGAGGGAGTCAGGCTATTTTCCAAGGCACCTGAAGGCAGGACAAGAAGCAACGGATGGAAACTAACCAAAGAGAGAAGCAACCTAGAACTAAGGAGAATTTACTGACAATTAGAACAATCAGTGGAACAACCTGCCTCCAGAAGTTGTGAATGCTCCAACACTGGAAGTTTTTAAGAAGAGACTGGACAGCCATTTGTCTGAAATGGTATAGGGTTTCCTGCCTAAGCAGGGAGTTGGACTAGATGACCTCCAAGGTCCCCTTCCAACTTTATTATTATTATGGCACATAATATTCACAGAAGGCGAGATGGCAGTGTCGCCACCAGTTTCACTTAGCGCTAGGGAAATTCAGCAACTGGGCAATATTAGAAGCTGTAAGAAAGAAAATTGTGGTTCTGTTTCTCTTAGCTTTCTTTTGAAGGGGTTAATGGCATTTGGAATAATTTGCAAAAATTGCCTGTGCGAAGGGCCAGGATGTAAGAAAGGCCAGCGTGTAACTGGCCATCGCCGTCATCCTCAGCCTCTCCTTGGGGGGGGGGGGGGAAGGCGCAGAGGCATGTAGTTTTTGTCCTGGATCAATCCTCACGGGCCCTTCTGAAAGCCGATCCTGCTCCCATCAATTAAGTATAATAGCAATTTAGCAACACGTCGCCGGTAGACGGTGAGAAGGATGAAACCGCCCACGGTTCGGCTCTTGCTGACAAACTGGATTATCCAGGAATAACAACCTCGCATATTTTAGGCAATCAAGTTACGTTTTCCAGAAACACCATCCCGCAATAGCCCGACACCTCCAGCTCTGCCCATAATTCCCGGGGAGAAGCCGGGTGTTTCCTGTTACATCAGTGCCGGAAAGCACATGGACTGAGTTAGGCGGGAGTCGGCCAATCTGCGCTTCCTAAAATGGGTTGCAACAGTTGTGGGGGAAGAGCGAGGAATTCCGTGGTTTTATAAGTTGATGGCCAGCCTGGGAGACACGTGGTAGGCTGTTCCTTCTTTTCGAAGGAAAAGACGGGAAACTGTATAGGGGAAACCGGGGGGGGGGGGGGAAGGTTGCCTAAGAAGCTCTAAGTGGCTCCTTACCAGAGGATTAGAAAGTTGATTCTTATAGGTGCGGGGAGAGTGTGTGTAGCGGGGGCTGATTGGCTACTATGGTAACTGAGTTGTGTTCCAGTAAACAACAGTGAAGGCTGTAGGTAGAAGGGGAGCGTTAAGTGGATCACAACGCCTTGATTCTGTACACATTGTGGCTTCCGGCATCTTGACTGAAGGCGTAACTAAGACAAACTTAATCAGCATGAATGGCTTGACATACACAACCTGCTAATTTGCAGGTAATTGGATTCATTTAGTAAGCCACTGGTTAGGGTGTTGAGTATATTACAGCTACAGCGAACGCTTTATGATTTGGTATATATATTGTGGGTTACTACTTAAGATGTAGGTAAAATCTTCTTGACAAAATTCAGCTTCTGATGATTTCTTTGATACATCCATGTGAATTTCTTGACAACAATTAGGATGAGATTTGCCCCTGTTATGTCTTGACTTTCTGGCCTAGTCCTGTGATCATTAATTTTGTTAACAGATTCCTAGAGTTCCTCACTGCTAGATTTCTCTGATTAAAGAGATGTACATAATATAACTGCCCAGAGTCCCTGAAGAAATACATTTTGTTGTTGTTAGTTGCGAAGTTGTCTGACCCATCGCTCCCCCATGGAAGAGAATTTTATATTTAGGAATAATTCCTTCTCCTAACTCTACTTTCAGAGAATGAAAGCAAGGCCACACTTCTATTGGTAATATCTATGCTTTCAATTTCAGTGGCCTGTTTTGTTCATAACTGTACATTAGCCTTCCCCGAACTGGAGCCTCTAAGTGGCTGGATGATTGTAAGGACTGAGATCCCACACACTTGGAGGTCACTAATTAGGAAAAATTGTGACAAACTGTCAGAATGAAATGAAATATCAGAGGCAACCTACTGATCTGATGATAAGTCACATGCTATTAGAGATTTATGTAGTATATTAGCTAAGGAAGCTTAGCTTTGCTCTAGTCGGACTAGATGATGGAAATTTGTAAAGCTTAAAATTTTGGACCCTAATCTATTGGATTTAAAAGCTCTGAAGTTAGCATAAACTACCATATATGAAACTGGGTGCTAGTGGGAAGCTCACAAGCTGAATTTGCACAACAGACAGAACTATAAACAACATAGCCACATTTTAGCCTGTTGTGTTATCCAAACCCAATATGCTAGGGCAGTGTATGACTGATGCAAAGTCAGGATTAATTAAATTATTAATCATTAAATTATTAATCATATTGAATGTTATGCAAATAACCATTGTGGGATCTCACAATGTACTAGGCTATAATGTGGTCAGCTATTTAATGGATCAGTGTATCTAACAAATACATAGGGCCTGCTGCAATATTAAAATGGTGCTATATGATTATAAAAGTCAGCTAGGATTCTTTAAAAATCTGAATAAATTGTATCTTTATTTTGCATTTTAAGTAAGAAAGGCTGGAGAAATTGTTGATCAATATATGTCTATACATGAAGAAAACTTAAGAAAAATCACTTGCGAGAAATACAGCATGCAACTGGAGACCATGACATGGTAAGAATGATCATAGTGTTCAATTGATTCTGTTGGATCATAGGCATACAGGTCCTTGTTTAGCAGCTACCCGTTCAGTGACTGTTCAGAGTTGCGACAGTGCTGAACAAATGTTACTTACAATCACTACTGGAAATTCTGGCGGTCACAGTACCCCACGATCACATGATTGTGATATGGGTACTTGGCTGCACTGCCCTTCAGTTACATGAGGTTGCTATTTGTGACCCTTCCACAAGCAAAATCCATGGGGAAGCTGGCAGTCTCTTCTGCTCAGCAGCAGCTACCCCTAGGCCCAAAATTGCTCCCATGCACCACTGCTACTATCTGTGCACCCCTTCCACTTGGCACTTGCCTGCTTGCCAGCCTGCTTGCCAAGTGCCTGAAACTTAAAGTACCTGTTGGCTTCCCTGCTGACTTTGGTTGTTGGAATCTGGCAGGAAGTTGCATGGAGATCCTTGTTGAACAATCCGTGATCCTTACTTAATGATGGCAGTAGGACTTGCCAGGATTGCCGATGTTAAGCGATGCAGTCACACTGCATTTTAGAAATCAACCATGATGTAATGTGACTGTGTCACTTAGCGTTCCCAATATAAATTACTGTTGTTAAGTGAGGACTACCTGTAATGTAGAATGGCTTACTTTATGTTTCAGCCAATTTAACCATCAAGAAAACAGGAACTCCAAGCATTGCTCCAAGCATGTCTCTTTAGTGCAAATCAGGTAATACAAACTTTCCCAGAGGTTATTAGATTACACATACCATATTAGACTGTTTGTTAGAACTGATAAGATTTCAAATTCAGCGATTGTTGGTTGGTTTCTTATTGTCCATTCAGAGGGAGGTGACCTCATGTACTCAGAAAGAGTCTAATTAAGAGGTATCATACTGGGAGTTCATCCTGCATCTTCACTCTTTCATTCTAACTCTCTTCCCATGAAATCCTTACTCAACTTAGGCTCAAATCCTTACTCAAAATCCTTACTCAACCCAACTCATGAGCAACTGAGGCTCACAAATACTTCAGTGAAATTGTTCATATCAGTTTTTAAAATCAATATAACTAATAACCATGCTTTCCTCTATATTCCCCATTAGAGTACAGTAAGTCAAGAGATAAGTACAGGATGAAATATGTGGAAAATATATTCAATAGATAAACAAACAGATCCCATAATAATAATAATAGTAGTAGTAGTAGTAGTAGTAGTAGTAGTAGTAGTAGTAGTAGTAGTAAAGTTGGAAGGGACCTTGGAGGTCATCTAGTCCAACCCCCTGCTCAGGCAGGAAACCCTACACCATTTAGGACAAATGGCTGTCCAGTCTCTTCTTAAAAACTTCCAGTGTTGGAGCATTTACTGCTTCTGGAGGCAGGCTGTTCCACTGATTAATTGTTCTCACTGTCAGGAAGTTTCTCCTTAGTTCTAGGTTGCTTCTCTCCTTGATTAGTTTCCACCCGTTGCTTCTTGTCCTGCCCTCAGGCGCTTTGGAAAATAGCTTGACTCCCTCTTCTTTGTGGCAGCCCCTGAGATATTGGAATACTGCTAACATGTCCCCCCTTGTCCGTCTCTTCAT